GTAAATTAAAGAATTACATTAGTTTATTGTTTCGAATATCTGTATGTATGATAAAGATTGGAAGAAGTATAACAGTTAGCTTAACTATAGGTTTTGGAATAATTTTTAATTTATAAGGTTAAATCCATACAACCTCAATTTTAAAAGAATATAACCAATTTTGCAAGTTAAACAAATATTACCAGATGGTCCTGTACAAGTTCCACAATTATTTTAATAAGAAAAACAAGGTTTAAATACATAGAATTTTGTATTAAATTTGATTGAAGATTAAATTAAATAATATCCATCATTACAAGTACAAGTGCTACAAGACTAAATAATTATAGATATAAATAATTACATATTTTGAATCACAACTTTTGTCATCATAAAGACATCCTTAACAATTTCCATTGATATCTATATAATTTCCAGTTGTAAAGCACTACATGAAAATATACATGGACTAGAAGTATTAGTAATTGCATAATTTTAACATCCACTTGAACATTAAAAACATGAATTTATATAAGTATTTAAAACATAACCTTTTACAAAGAAACAAAGAAAAATAATGGTATAATAATAGCAATTATAATTAAAATTGGTAAAATAAATCTAAATAACCATAATTAATGAATTAGGGTATCATATCTATAAGCAACATTAGCTTATATCCAATTAAATCCAGAAATAGATCTATATGATATTAAACTAATAAAGCCACCTACCAAAGATGATTAGAGGTAGATGTACATATATATTAATGTTGTAGTTATTACAGCTAAACTATAAGGAGTGTTATATATTTTTAATACAATCCAATAAAATAAGAAAAATAAACCAATATAAATGAATGGCATAATACATTACCAAACAATAATAGAATAATGAATTTCAAAGTCAAATAAATCTTTTAGTAAACAGTCAAGAGAGTGAGTAATAGTTTAAATTGGATTGCTAATAGCAATAAAAACTTCACCAATGCCAATTATATTTGAAATTTTAAAAGTAAAAATAACAGATACAATTTACAAATGATGAGTAAGCATTTTAATTAAGATACCAAAATTAGAATGATATTCTATTTTGGATACAATTAGTTTTGAAATTACTTTTTTAATAACCATTTATTCATTTAATGATACATTACTCCTTACAGAAATTAATATAGAAATAAAAGTCCTAAATATATAATAATTATTATTTACCATAAACTGATGGCAATAATAGCAACAACATTTTAATTATTTTCAACACAAAGGCCACAGGAATATTTCTAACTTATTGAAAAATGTCCATTTCCTTATGAATTATAAATATCGCATTCTTCACATAATGCTCCTATATGACCTTTGTAACAAGATATATCTCCTTCAATCCATCCACCTTTACAATTTTCTTGTAAATTGATACATTGACTGATAAAATTAGTATCAAAATATGGTCTCCAAAATCCTGATTTAAGATTTATTTATGCTGATTTAACTTCACTTGTTGAAAAATCATCTTTTTAAGAACAGTTATTTGAATTAATAACTAATGAATATAAGCCTTATGTAGCATTGCAAGGTAAACAAGTACCTAGATAAATTATTTCTCCTAATTAACAAGGTAATGGTTTGATATTCATTCTTAAAAAATAATTATTGTGATATCCAACAATTTCTTAATTTTTACCATATATAGGTGTGAATATAGAATCACAATGAAATTATAATTATAATATGATATTCTGTTAATTATCTAATTAAAAGATGATATTGTCAAAATTATAATCAGTTTAATTAAATATGACTTAATTAGGACTCATAAAATCTTATTTAAAATCTGAATCTCCATTCTCATTAAGTACTCTACCACTTATTGAACATTAACTACCATCTAATTTATTTTAATCATTATTTTATTAATCTAAAGCATACAATCTTAAATGTAGATTATATTCATAATATTTCTATTTTTATCGATCAAAATATTTATATTCTGACATCATCTACCCATTTGGAACATATAATGAGCCATAATAAGTTTTTTAAAATAGTTAATATTTTGGAATTTCAATTTATTCTATCAAAAGATTGTCATTCTTTAATATTATTTTTTTTGGCAATTTACTCTATAAATCTATTGAAACTGATAATTAAGAAGGAAGTTAAGCAAAATTATTTCCAAAAAGAGTTCCTTTATTATCATTGATTAGTGTTCCTTATTCATTTAAGTTTTAAATTATCTAATCTTTTAGAAATACACCTCCGCCATATTAAGCTTTATTAAATTAAATCACAGTGTTTAATATAAAAAAACTGGAATGACCAATTATTTATATTGATCCTCCCCATGATTCAGCCGTATTATTTTATAATATAGAATCTT